TTTTATTATGTCAATTATCTAAAGATCGTTTTGAATTAGTAAGTTTTACTTTATAAGAAAGAAAAAAAAACTCTGTCCGGTATTCATTTAGCTGGTGTTCTTCTTTCTAAAGGGTGTTCCATCGTGTGATGTTATAACATCATACAATGGAACACTTTTTTAGGAAGAGGAATACCAGCTTTAATGTTACCAATGCTAAATGACATGAGTTGTCTAATTCGAGTTCGAATATAAATGAAGAGCTAATTGTTTATTATTACTTCGAAAATAAATGAATAAAAAAAAACGGCTTCCATATCGAAAGAGCAAAAAAAAAGCACACAATAGGAATTTTTCTAAATTATAAATAAATGAATCTCATACAAACTATTCTCATCTGACATGCTAGAACTAGAGATTGAGATACTACAAGTATGACGTGCAATGCTTCAATCACCCTTTGGGATACCTCAGGTAGCTCGCCGAAGTATACGCTGGATACATATGTGAGAATGAAATATAATGATAACCTAAGGCTAACATCTTGGTATTTACTGACTCTAATTCGAATAATGCTAGGGCTAATTTTAGTGCGATGCACATAGTGTCCAAAATGACTTTTCCCGCGTAACTGACCTTTTATTTCAGTGTGAAACGTTCCCGAAGAGACGTGACCTATGCTCGTCCGTGTGTACACAGTGATGAACGAAGTAAAAATTGAAATAATAATAATAATAATTTATATAAAATTTCATCTTTTGTTTTTTTGCTATTTCAACATGACCTGAAAGCGGTATTTTTTTGAATTTTTTATTTTCGAACTTGAATTAGGCATCTACTCCTAAACGAATTCACATTTGCAAGAGCTATCTATACCATTTTCTAGAGCAACTCGTGTGGCATGAAATAGTATATAGGAATCTTAACATTGTCATTAGCTTATGTAGTTTTTGGCTTTTATGATTTTTTAAATTGTTCGATACTGCTTCTGAGGGTACAGGCGACCAATCAATGCTCAATTTTTCGTTGTCTACGGATAGAAAAGTACATGAGTTTCTATCTATAAATAATAAGTTCATCATGCCCTATCATTTGATATATATGGATCATTTAGAAGTGACACAAAAAATTTTCTCTGTCAGATCCCTAGAGGGGATATATAAAATTTTTAATTCTAATAGAAGATCCAGTATATATTAAATCTAATAGAGCTGCATACTCTAATCACATTGGACTATTAAGAATCAAAATTTGTAATGGATAAAAAATAGCTAATCTTTATAATAATTCATTTCTGTATTTTCTCTAAGAATTTGATAGCGAAAACTATTTTTTCTCATCTTTGATTTCTTGCAAAATTCCTATACTCTTCTATCTGTAAGAATCGAAAAATTAATCATTCATAAAAGTTAAGAAAAATGTAGATGATTTTATAATTATTCTATTTTCTAAATAGTTATCAGTTTCGGCTTCAATACGTCGTCGACCACTTATAAAAATTCTTGGTTTACTTATATCATTACTTATAATATGTTTAATTTTATTTATAATTTGTTATTTTATTGGTTTAAAATATGGTGGTTTATCAATATTTTTTTTTATGTTAGCTGAAACAATTTTATTAACATTTGATATATGTTATCTTTTATTTAAATATATATTTCAATATTATATATTTGAACAACAAGAACAAAATCCATTAACAACATCAAATGAATATCGTTCATATATAATATATTATATTGAATTTTTATATCATGTAATAACATTAATTATTGATATAATACATAATTTACAAATGTTATTTTATCATCAAACATTTATGTCAATGTCATCATTAATATTTTTTATGCAATTAAAACCATTATTTAATGAATTAACACAACGTTTAAAACGACATAAATCATATCGTAATGCAATGATACGTATGGAAAAAAAATATCCACTTTTAACAAAATATGATTTAGAACAAAAATATATGAAACAAAATCATATATCAAGTTTAGATGAAATTTGTTCAATTTGTTGGGAAAAATTTGAAAAAGCAAGATGTTTACCATGTAAGAGAAAAGAAAATTATATTCGAGAAAATAAAGTACGATTATTTTTCTGTCGAAGTCGGACATCTACAACGTCGGGAATCATTTACTCTCGACATAGAATTTCATTGTGTCAAAGCTTAAATCTAGAGATGTAAGCTGAGCGACTGAATCGTCGCCGACGAAAGCCAAAAAAATGTTAAAGATTTTCAGCCGTTGTACAAAAAACATACTCATGTTTCGCATATTTTGGACATTCAGGATCAGTTTTTACTGACTTGTTCAATTTTCTACTAGCCATTTCTCTATTACCATTTTCTACCTTTTTGATTTCAAAATCTCTCAAAAACAAAGGATTGTGGAAAAATTTGAGCCACCGCCGATGATCAATTCGTCGGCTTAGACCTCTAAACACAACTTTTGACTTTTTCTTCAAAATTGATTGATACTTGTTCAATCTTATTCGAGATGATAAATTTAAGCATACAGTAGATACTAAAATTACTTAACAAGGTTTATTATCAATGTTTTTCCTGCTGTTGTAAGCGTTAGAAATAATTTTCTCTACAAAATAAGACATCTTCAACTTCTCTTTGACGTTTTTTAGTCGAGACATAGCAATTTAAGACCTCCCGATCTCAGCCCAGGAATATTCAAATTGCATGAAACTTTCAGAATTGATGAGCGATGGCTATAGTAAAATTTTCAGCTCTATATCATGATATTTGACAGAGATATTCACCAAACAAGCTCAATCGTTTCTCCAAGAATTCTCTGTGGACCTTCATTTTATACATTTAAATTCTTATTTTTTAAGCGAAGAAAAGGGATGATAAGTTTAAAAAACCCTAAAAAAATAGTACTGTTTTTATAGAAATGTTTTCTTATATGAAAATAAAAAGGGTCACGAGAAGGAAGCTAGTCGTAGATACAAGCTTTCAAACAAAAACAAAATATTTGACTTTATCTCTTACTATGATAGAGTTCTGCTGGCACTACGTCATTGAACCCACGTTTTTAGAAAAATGAAAAATGATTTTCCGTTTGTTTTTTTTTGTAAAAATGTCTCATTTTATATTTTAGGTGGTCATCTATTTCATCAAAATTGTTTACGAAGTTGGCTTGAACAAGATACAACATGTCCAATATGTCGTTTATCTTTACAAGAAGATACAACACAACAAACAACAAATATACCTATTCCTCAAACTCAAACAACACCAAATTTTCTTCTTTGGCCATCAGTAACACTTGCACGTCGTACACCTAATGTACTTGGTTTAACTGATACAACAATTCAACGTCCACCGGCCAATCATTTATTTCGTTTTGATGGTAGTCGATATTCATCTTGGTTACCAAGTTTTTCAATTGAAATTAATCATAATTTTCCATTTCGTCTTGGTCGTGCACGTTTAACTGATGTACAATTAACAAGTACAGCACAAAATATTCAACAAATATTTCCACAAATTCCATATGAAATTATACTTGCCGATTTACAACAAACACAATCAATTGATACAACAATTGAAAATATTATGGATCATCGTATTCATATTGAACCACAACAAATTCATCATCAAAATGATAATATATCAGGTTCAGATGAATCATCATATTCATCATCATCATCATCACCAGGATCAACATCATCATCAGAAGCTGGTGAACCAATTGATACAGATTTATTGTAAATATGAATATTATTACGAAATTTATGTTAGTTATTATTTTAATTTTTATTTAGATCTGATCTACCTCGAACAACACAAACAGATGAATTAATTGATAATGACGATAATGAAAATTTTACATGGCCATTAGATCCACAACTTTCATTAGCTAGTCGAAAACAACAATTAATTTCACATATGCGACGGTAATAATCATGTTTTATATATATATATATATGGGTGATTTTTGCAATCTCATTGCAAAGTTCCTAATTCAAATGTTTTTACGAACAGGAAAAATATTTCTCGGTTATCATTATAAAAGCAGTAGAGATTCTAAGTAATTCTCGGTGAGACGAATTCAAGGACATATGTTATGTTTTTGCTGCAAGTGGAACAAATTTCGGTTAGATCAATAGAAATTTCTTGCTATTGGAAGACTCTCCCTCGCTTTCAATAGTACTGGTGGAATATTTTTACATCAATATATAATTTTCTCTCGAACTAGTTGTTTTTAGTAGTTCGCACAAGGATCAATGTTTGATTGCAAAGAATAGATATGTGACAGATAGACTTGTAAACAAAATAAAAATCTTGCGATACATTTAGTATGACTTTTGATTTTGATATTCTAATTGAAATGGTATAATGAGATTGCAAATCATCCATATATATATATCTTTGTTTAAATAATTATACAATTCTTATTTTTTATTTAGACGATTTCTTGAACGTGAACGTCGTCTTCAATTATCAACGCAAAAGTCAGATTTATTATCTGACAATTAAATTCAAAAAAAATTTTACTGTGTTCTTTTTCCTTTTCGTTTTTTTTTTTTTTGTTTATATATGTATATTCAAAGACAATAAACAGTGCTTTCTCGCTCTTTAATGTTTAGGCTAAGGCAATTCATTTTCTGTGTATGTCTTTAAAAACTAATAAATCATTGTCTGTGTGTGTGTGTGTGTGTGTATTCATGATTAAAAAACAAAAACTGCTATTGTTCGTTTTAATTTCTAATAAACGTTACCGATAAATATCACGAATGGTATTAATATTATTTCTATTCTAGAATAATGCGTCGTGGTGTTGGTATTAGTGGAATTAATCAACAATTACTTGAAAAAGTATGTATGAAAATTTTTATTCGAAAAATTTTAATAAATTATTATATTTTAGGCGAAATTCAATGAAAAAGGTTCAGAACTTGCACGTGATCATTTAGATAAGGTATATTAAATTTTTCTTTTTTTGCTTATGAGGAAAATTCTCAAATTGATAAATTTGACTTTGAGAACAAGACTATGTAGACTAGAGTCCATCGGATCCTACCCGATGGGTTCTAATGTACATCTAAATGAGCTATGATGAATACCCTAAGAAGATTCCTGCTGAGATATTTTTAAATATCTCCTTCGGGAAAAATTGATTTTTGCGAATTTCGACTTGAAACTTTGCATAGACGCAGATCTTACTGAGATATCTCAGCATCAATAAGCAAAGAGTGTGAACTCTTTTCAGGGCATTCGTAGATTCTCTAAAAATCAATTTATCAGTTGGAAAATTTTCTTCGTCACTATCTTTAACGTCCTAGAGACAAGACATGATAAAATAGATCTGAAGAACATTGTAATGTTCTTGAATCGAACCTTACAAAAGCTCGTCGAATCCAAATCTTCAATAGATCTCATGAGTTTCATTAGAATCTCTTTTTATGAATTAAAATTAAAAGCGTTTATAAGTTCCACAGTGGTTTTTGCCGTAACAATCGAACATATATAGGTTTGTAAAGGAAGATTTCATGATATAAATTGGTGGAAAAAAGTTTAGAAACAACGATTTTTTTGGTTTTTTTCATAGTGTTAAGCACGTAGCTTCAATCGAAATAATGATTTTAATAGCCAATGGAGTCTTCTATCCAATACACTTTATAGCAAGATTTCACAGATGAACAATGATGGCAAGGCTCCTATAAAATCGAACACGGTATTTTTCAGATTCTAGAAGACTTCACGAGAACTATTTTTGAACGATGCCACCTTAAAGAGTGCAAAATTCTAAGCAAAAAGAGGAGTCGTTCAGTTTTCTACCATCTTCTCATAAAAATTTCCAAGCATCACAAAATCATGAAAAAGGCGTTTTTAGTCGATTTTTAAAACAATTTCGTTTTTTCATGATTTTTGTGATGCTTGTAACTTTTTATGAGAAGATCGTAGAAAACTCGGCGACTCCTCATTTTGCTCAGGATTCCGTGCTCTTTAAGTTGGCACTGTTCACAAATAGCTACCTTAAAGCCTTCTAGAACCTGAAAATACCGTGTTCGGTTTTTAGAAGCCTTGCCATCGTTGTTCATCTGTGAAATCTTGCTATAAAGTGTATTGGATAGAAAACTCCATTGGCTATTAAAATCACTATTTGGATTGGAGCTACGTGCTTCACATTATAAAAAAAATCGTTGTTTCTAAACTTTTTTCCACCATTTTATATCATGAAATCTTCCTTTACAAACCTACATATGTTTGATGTTGAATTAAATATAAGGATTTATAGAAAAATAAATTCTGACAATTACCTATCGGTCGAAATTTACTAGAAAGATGTCGGATCAAGTTTCTTTGATGTTTCGATTCGACGTTTAGTACTTTTTTTTGGAGGAGGAGGAAGTCATCTCTCATGAAATATATTTTGATTGATGATTTATTAGATAATTTGCTTAATTTTTGTTTTTGTATATTTAGCTTGCTAAACAATTTGAAACATTTCGTGATAATTTGGAAAGTTTTGCTGAAAAACATAAAAATGAAATAAAAAAAGATATTGCATTTCGACGACAATTTCAAGAAATGTGTGCAACTGTTGGTGTTGATCCACTTGCATGTATAGAAAAATAATAACATTTTTTTTTTCTTGTATATTTATTTTCTTTTTTATTCAGCAAGTAAAGGTTTTTGGTCACAAGCTCTTGGTGTTGGTGATTTTTATTATGAATTAACTGTTCAAATTGTTGAAGTATGTGTTGCAACAAGTTCACAAAATGGTGGTCTTATTTCACTTGATGAACTTTTATTACGTGTACGAAAAGCACGTGGAAAATCTCGTTCAGCACAAGATGTTTCACATGATGATATTTTACGTGCAATTAAAAAATTACGTATACTTGGTGATGGTTTTACTGTTATTGAACCAGCAAATAATCAAGGACGTATACTTATACAATCAATTCCAGGTGAATTAAGTATGGATCATACAGCTATATTAAATTCACTTCAAACACGTTCAAGTTTTACTGTTGAACAATTACGTGAACAATTTAAATGGTCAGATGAACGAATAAAAACAGCTATTGATTTTATGATTAAAGAAGGTCTTTTATGGATTGATAATAATGGACGAAATATAGAATATTATTTTCCTGGTTTATTTACTGCACAACGTGTAATAGCTGGTGAAAGTGTTTAAATGAAATATATTTTATTTTTTGTAGTTCATCTTTTTTTTTCCTTTTCTCCTTTTTTTTTATTTGATCATATTTGTAAATTTCTTTTTTTGTCTTTGAATTTCAGATGACTGAAAATCAACATGCAAGTGATAATCGACATCATTTAGCTATATGGTGTCGTGCTGAAATATTTACATTTGGTGCATTAACAACACCACCACCACCTGAGATTACACCTGCTGTAAGTTTTGTCAATTCTTACGAGAGAACTATCTGAAAGGATTCATTCCCATGGGTTTTTTAGAGTCGAGTTATGATCGTGTAATTGAACTTTCGATTCAGTTTTACATGTATATACTGGAAATTCAAAAGAAAAAGAATGTCAGCACTAGAGCCTATCGGGTACAAGAATTTTTGTATCTGGATCTGATGGATAAAATGTTTTTGGACTTGGACCTAATCCGAATCCTACTCGAGCTCGGTCAAGTTCACGTAAGACTCAATAGGCTCTAGTCAGTGCAACCTCTTTTGTGATTATCATGTGTTCTTTAGGCTTATTATGCTGATACAAAATGCGTTAAGTGAAAAATATCTAGCAGACTATAGTCGTTTGCTAAGGATGATCAACCACCTGGGAAACGATCTGTCGTCTTATTAATTTCTGCATTTTAAACAGAAATTTTTTCTTAATTTAATATTACTATTGATTTAACTGACGAATGAGTCTGTTGTACATAGACAGCAGATCTCAATACACTATTATATATCTCGATAAGCTCAGAAACACTGATATTGATTATTTTCAAAAGTTATAACTTGATCAGTTCACGCCTTTAATGATTGTAGCAAATCAATCGATCATTGTCTATCATCATTGACATCTTGAGAAATTCAGCTGTAAGCGCAGCGAAAGTAGCGCCCTCTATTGAGATCTCAAAAGAACTTGATAGTACATCGAGGAAGGCTTTAGAGTGTTCTAGAACAGTCTAAATCTACTTGTTAATTTCGTTTAGTGTGTTTTTTCGTTGTTCGAAAACTCTTGGAAAGTAGCTTGATGCCCTGCATCCCTGTTGCTGTATGCGGGAGAGTCACAAAAATCTCGACTTAAAACTAACTCTTAGTACTTCGAAAAATATAATATGATTTTTATAAAACAGAATTTCGACGTGCGATAGATCGTCTAGAAGACTTTGATTTATCAATTATATTATTTTCTTTTCATAGAGTTTAAAATCTATTGTCAAATATATGAAAAAAAGTAATACTGCAGGTTATCCAAAAATGAAGTAAGTACATTAATTGATAATATTGTTTCTTTTAAATATTTATTGTTTTTTTTTAGTTATATGCTTTGGCGACATATTGCTTGTTCTAAATTACATATGTCTGAAGAATTAGCATGGATGTAAATAGTTTATTTAGAGAATCGATTATAAATATTATTAATATGATTTATTTTTAGGTATTTTGAAACATATGGTGTATTAACAAATACTTTAGCTCAACGTCGAATACAAACTGATATTCAAATGGCTAAAGCAAATAGTACAGCTGAGATCGGTTAGTTTATATTTTTGAATGTTAAATATTAAAATATTTTTGTTTTTGTCTTTTAGAACGACTTAAAGATTCACGAAAAGTTGATAGTCTTGCTTTTATTCTTCTTCTATTTCTTCAATCATTTCATCAAATTGATCTTAAATCAACACTTTCACGTGATGAGTTTGTATTTTTATTTAATTTTGATCAAAAAAATATTATATAGGAATTTTGAATTAAATAATTTTTTGTTTTTTTAGATGGCCGAATCGTAAACGAAATTCTGATTTAGATGCTCGAAAAAATCGCGTATATATTTTTAATTGGATTTTGTTTTTTTTCTATAATAAATAAATAATTATATTTTGTAGATTTATGATGAACAAAGTCATCAATTATTTATTCAAGCACATTTAGATGATCTATTAAATATTGTTTCAGAAACATCAGGTAAATGAAATGTCTTATACAAAAAATTTAATTTATTTTTAATATTTAAGAATCAAATAATAATGAAAATGTTCAATCTGCTACATTAAGTATGGATGCTGTTATAGCTCTTAGTTATATATTCGAAGGAACACTTCATGATAGCCTTCGAAAAATTGTTCCATTACATGTTATTATTCAAAATTCATCAATTCAACATGAAATTGGCATAGTAAGATATATCATTTGTTGTTTAGTTTGTTTTTTATTTTGAGATTAAAATAAGAAAATACAATCTAAAAAGTTATGTTTCTTATGAATAGAATAAATCGATTGTTCCATTTAAAAATTTATCAAATTTAATACGTCGTTCACTTATTGCAAATCCATTTCAAGTTGGACAAACAATGAAACGTGGAACACTTTTACCATTACCATTTAATAGTTGGTGTCTTTATTTAATTTTGATAAATATAATATTTTCTTTTTTTTTTTTTTACAGATCCAACACATGAACAAAGATCGGGTCGAGTTTTGTGTAATTCAAATTTTGCAGATGAATCGTAAGATGAATTTTATTTAATAAATATAAATAATTGTTTTTTTTTTGCCAGACATCGATTTGTATTAATGACAATGATAAATAGATCATTAAGTGATCAGGTAAGAAAAAAACAACAACATCAATTGTCTATCAAAATTTTTGTAATAATATTTCTTGAGAGAGTATTATGATTCGGCTAAGGGAAACTACAACTCATATCTGCCTATTACTATTTCTTCGCTAAATAAAATGCCATGGGCTTCTATTACAGGCTATTTTTTGCTAACATACTTTCAAATCCACAGAACTTCCGAAAAAAGATTTTGCGAAAATCTATTCCGTCGATAGGTGTTTAGAAAATAATTGCTCAATAGAAAATTTCATTCGTTATAGAATCTATCTGATTGTCATATTTTTCGAATATTGATTTTTTTTTTTTGTTTGTAGCAATCGACTGATATTATTAATGCAGAATTTCGTATTCATCGTTGTAGTTATTCATATATTTATATACTTGCACCATTACGGTAATATTATTTAGTTTTATATGTTATTCTTATTCGTTTTATATCTTAATATAGATGCGTTGAAGTTCGTAAATGTCATAATGTAACAATTGTTCTTGGTACTGTTGAAACAACATTAAAAGTAACAGATTGTGAAAATGTATCAGTATCAGCTGTATGTCGTCGATTACTCATTAGGTTAATTTTTTCGACAATATTTGTTTTTTTTTTGTTTATTTTCTAATTTAATTATTTATTTATTTTAGTCAATGTCGTTCATCATCATTTTATATTCATACACCAACACGACCATTAATACAATTAAATTGTGCTAGTTTACTTTTTGCACCATATAATGCATCACATGTTGAATTACCTGAACAAATGGAACGTGCGGGACTTTGTAAAGAACTTAATCTATGGAATAAACCATTAGTTACACATCCAGCTGGTTATGTTGATGAACAACCATGGTCACTTCTTCCACCAGATGATTTCTATCCAATTAGTTCAATTCGATTAGAAGATCAACAAACGGTAGATAGAAAAATACAAGAAGGAAAATGTGGCTCCTAGTAAATGCCACCAGGATCCATCAGAAACCGGTTTTCTCCCCCGTTGGAAAAATACTACTATAAGATTTTGTCTACGGAAACTATCTAATGATCTAGACACTATTAAGTTCTACTGAGTACCGTTGATAATGAATACACTATTAGATGCCCCATGTGAATGAGGAATATCCGAAGATCAGATTTATTTAGAGCCGGAAATTCACAGATGTGTACGTTGGAATTATTGATCTGGGTAGACTAAATCTTTCTCTAGAAACGTACATATGCAGTGAGAAGTTATCGAAAAACGTATATATTATCAATTAAATGAAAAAATCTTTCTTTTTTTTTTTGTATTGTTCTTTAGGATGGTTTAATTCCTCTTCCATCTGAATATCAATCAGCTATAGATAAAAGACAAAAATCGATCTCATCATTAGCTAATGAAATAACAGCTGCACAATTAAATCCTGAACAACGTCAACGTTTTCAACGTTTTGTTGTATCAAATTTTGAAGCATGGCTTGATGCAACAGGAAATGCAAAAATTCTTAATCATCTTTCCAGTTTACAACAACAATAATCTCATCATTCCTTTCTTTCTTTCTTTTATATTGTATTGTGACACATTTGTATAAAAAATAAAAATAAAAATTAGCATATAAAGTAATTTAATGATTATTTCTTCTTTTGGCTTTTGTTTTATTATCATTCGTCTCTTTTTTTGTATGCATATAAAAAACAAAACGTGGACAATATATAAAATCACCGGAAAGACTAAAAAACAATGTCTTTGTGTTAAAAATAAATTACGAGTAATATGTAAGAACATTTTTTTGATTACCACGTAAGAATAATAATGGAGGTAAATTATAACTTATTGCGTCTAAATATGCAAGATAAAGACCAGCTGATATTGATTGTTTTCGTGGAATTGGTAATGTACTAAAAAGAACAAAGAATATTTTCGTATTCATATTTGTTGAATGTATGTTTATAGAAAGAAATCTATTGAAATAGGATATCGGTGGAGGGAGTAGCAATAATGTCAAACTTGAAACTTGAATTCAATTATTGAATAGTTGAATTCAAGTATTCAACTGTTCAATTCAAATATTCAACCATTCTAAGATACTACAGACATCACCTGAGATGCTACATATATCATCTGTAATGCTATAAGCATCATCTGGGATGCTAGGTACACAATCTGAAATGCTGCGGACATCAAATGGGATGCTGTAGATATTGTGTACACGGAGATGCGTATGGGTCGCGACGCTGATATAAAGGATCAGTTAGGTGGCGAAAAGCGCTTCCTCCGTAAATCTGCAGCACTGATAATTGCATAGTTGAATTCAACTTTCAAGTTTGACATGTATGAAAGGTTCTGCAAATCTCTTTTATATATTTTTTCCAGAGCACTTGTACTTCTTATTGAATTTTTCATATTTTTTTGTGATAAAAATATTACCGTGTAAATAATACTAGAAACAGATGAATAGTAAAATAAATGATTTACATGGAAGACGAAAGTATAAATTCACTGGACTTTTTTCAATTGTACTTCAAGAAAGAAGAGTTACGTCTGCGTGACAGAATGAAATGGGATACGGGACGATTTTTTGATTGTTCCGCGGAACTCGCTCTGGTCGATAGTGAAAACAAACATGCAATTTGGACAATCTCTTGTATGCTAGATCAATTATTTTAATATCATATGACGGCTTTTGCAGGAAAAGTCTACTAAACATTTGAAGTCTCAACAGATATTCAAGAGAAAAGATTTATTGAAGAACAAAAAAAAAAAATCTTATATTGAATCTCTAGATATAGTTTCCTATTTAAATAAGTCATTTTTCATAGACTAAACAAAATAACTTGTATTAGATTACTTACACAACGATTAATGTTGATTGTGAACTATATTCTTGTAAATATTCATGTAAATTAAGGCCTCTTTTAATTTTTTCTTTATTAACTTCTAATTCCATATCTGTTATTTTCCATGATTCATCATTTATAATTGTATTTTCATTATTTTGATGCCATGTTTGTAAAAGTTGTTGAAATTTTTGTGTTTCATTATCATTTAATTGTTTATTAAGACCATGAAGAACATGTAATTCTGTATATTTAATACGAAATTTTGATAATAATGATGCCATTGTAACATATTGTCGATCGGCATCATTTTTTTCACCTGGTACACATGAAAATATACGAAATTGACAATTACGCCAACGTTTTCGACGTCGTAATAAATAAGGTAATAATAATGTTAAACCACCATCATCAGATAACCACCAAACATCAATAATAGCTGAAGAATTTTGTTTTGGACGAAATATATTCATTGTTAATAAAGCACCTTCATTTATAATTGTATTTTTTAATGTTAAAACATCTGTTTGACGTCGTACATTATTATTATTATTATTATTTGATGATCTTGAAGTACGTAATGGACTATATCCTAGAGATAATCCATCTATTTCATCATCATCATCATCATCATAATCATCATCAGGCAAATCTATTTAAAAAAAGAAACAAATCTTTGAGTAACAAATTATTTTTTTCAAAAAGAAAATTTTCTTATACCCGGTCCAAAAAAATCACTAAAATCAAGGCCAGTTTGCAATCTAAGAATACCAATACCATATTTAAGATATAGTGCATCATGAATCATATTAAAATAATCAATAGTTGCATCAGCTTTAGCTAACCAATCATTTTTAAAACCAAAAACAACTACATTTGGTCGCATTTTACCTACACCTACACACTATAAAAGAAGAATAAAAATTGTGAGAATAATTTCATCAAGATTAACATGTAAAATATATGATATGGAGATGATGATCTAGTCCTAAAGAGGAAATTCATTAACATAGATTTAAGTTTATGAATTTCCATAATAGACTTCGATCTTACGAGTAGTATCCAGTACCCAAAAATTAATGAGATTTTGACGTTTCGAAATATTGTTAATTTTTTCAAATTGCTAATTTTGTATAAAAGCATACGAGTAAAAATTTGTGTAATTTATTGTACGTAAGTTAAAACAAAGGAGACAATTCAAGATTGATAGAAAAATAGTAGACTTTAAATTAGGAAGCTGCCGGTCCACATTTTTTCGGACCCGATTGGATCCAAACTCGAGTTTTTTTCTATTAATACTTAGCACCCTTCGTGTATATGAACAAGTGAAGAATCAAGATTTCAGCTATTTATTCGCTACTCACAACGTACAGTTATATCTTGTTGCTGGATTTCTCGTCTGAGAAGCAGCGGGTCCACAAAAAACATGTAACCGGGCCCAACAAAAAAATAAAACTTTGAACCCGCAGCTTCCTACTTTAAATTCATCCATTTCACAAGTGATATTAAAATTATAACCTGACCGTAGTATTCGTATGAAAAAAAAAACAGAAAATCAATTAACCGAATCGGAGATATTTCGATTATTTATCGTAGTGCTATTTATAGCTCGCCCTGTAAAATTTTTTTTTTTATTACATACTTGTAACAATGCAATTGCTCCTTGTCGAACAGTTGGTGCAACAATAGATTGATAAAATGCTTTTGCTGCACGTTTTTTTAACCATGTTTCACCTTCATCTTTTTGATCGTATTGAAAATTTACTGTTGGATCATTCTTAAAAATATAAATTTCGAAATTAGTTCTTGTGTTTTTCTTTTTTTCTCACTTACTAAAATAACATTAGCACAAATCATTAAACTATGTCCATGAGTAACTAATGAACAAAAATCAACTAATGCTGGACGATAAAGTGGATTTCCAGTTAAAACTAACATTTGTGGTCGAAAATTTTTAACATGTTCTTGTATAATATCTAATTTATGTGTTGCATCAAGTGCTCGTCTATATGTTTGAGCTTGAACAGATGAACCCCAATTAATTTCTACAAACAAAAAAAAAAATTTTTATCTTAATAAAATATTTTTATTAATAAATTTTTTACCAGGTTTTGTTGTTCGTACATAAACAAAAAGTCCACTACTAATAACAAATGTTGTTAAAGCTGCCCACCTTAATTTAAAAGAAAAGATATTCTTAATTTATTTATTTTTTTAATTTAAAAATCTTACCAATTAATAATAAACATAACTGCAATACAAACTAATGCACCAATTAATGCTAACCATTTATTATAATATCGAAAAGCTGGTCTCCATCCACTAGCTTTTGCTAACGATGCATCAAAACATGCATAATTAACTAATGCATAAGTCATAAGAAAAAAATTTGAAATTATTGGTGCAATTCTATTTAATTCACCTGAAGAAAAAAAAAACATTAAAATTTTTTTATTACAAAAAAAAGAACAAAAACGAATATATATGAAGAATTTTTGTTTTTTACCAATAGCAGTAAATAAAACAGCAATAAAATATGTAAGAATATATGCTCGTATGGGTTCATCAGATTTTCCATTACCAACAGCAAAAAATTTCAAACGAGGAAAAATCATATCACGACAGACAGCTTGAAAAATTTTTGGTGCACTCACAAGACTTGCTAAATAAATTCTATTTTGAATAAAACAACAACAACAACAAAAGAAACACAGCATCTTACCTAAAGCACTTGATAACGTTGCAGCAAATATTCCAGCTAAGAAAAGAAAAAAATTTTTTTAATAAATTATAATTTTCAAGATAGAATTTTAGTCTAAATCTTCAAGTCACTTCGAAGACGTGAAATACTTTTTCTTGCTTATTTATATTCTGCAACTAACATATTTCTTACGAGAGAAGTTCTCGAACTGATAAATCGTGTTTGACTCGAAACTATGTGCATCATGTAGACTCAAATGAGCTATCAATATCCTGAAAAGAGTTCAGATCGCTAGCTTATTGCTGCAGAGATACTGAAGATTTTAATTCAATGTCATGGTTCCTCTCAGACAAATTCATTTTTGAATTTCGATTTAAAACTTTGCTGATGAGAATAGTTTTTTGTCTTTTAATTTGCTCCTATCCTGAAATATCAGCATCAAATCTACTGATCTCTAATTGTATCTTAGAATAGGAACAGCAACAAGCTCTGAAACATTCAAAAATAAAAATATCTTCTCGTTAAGATTTGTCTCTATGCAAAGTTTCAAGTAGATCAGTTGAAAAACTTTCCTCATCAGAGAATTTTGACTATGATCAAATTATAATTAGAGGTTACTTTTAGAGTATGATGCCGTTGGGTGAGACCGGGGCTTGAGTTTCCGGGACCAACCGGACGAGCTCTATCGATCTTCTAAATTTTGTCTTCTTATAAAAAAAGTTATTGTTAAACATCAATAATCAATAGCACCGTGTTTTATATGTCGAAATAACTACAAAAGAGATTCGAATAAATCCCCAGCGCACAATAGAAGACTCTCGAGCTTTCTTTTATATTTTATTTATACATGAAGTTTTCAGTTGAAAGATTTCTTCAACAAACTAAAGAGGTTTGTAGAGATTTAAAAGTCTAGAAATAATGTTTATCTCAGTCGTTTAAAATTTTTCAGGTAAAAATTCTGAAAACTAGGTATATTTTAATAAAAATATACGAATTAT